CCTTGCTCAAGGCGGCCTGAAGCTACCTTAGAACGTTGGGATCATATGTTGTTAAAACCAGATATTTGCTACATATTTCTAATAAATGTTGATTGGAAGGGAAGATCGTTTTAATGGATATCACAATATTTTGAGAAATCTTTACCATAGGACTCGAGATGAATTCCAAAGATCACCTTCGATTCGCCACATTGGCGGGCAAATATGGGCAGACCAAGTGCACTTTTCCGTTTTTTCGCCAAGAAAAAAATACTTAGAACTTTTTAGTATCCATTACGTGATTGAGACCCTAAAACAAAACTGCATGCGAAATTTTGGCCAAATCGATGAAATGAATGGCCGACAAAAGTTCGAAAGTTACAGACTACTGCACTTAAGTATCCAAAGCTAATTTCGTCGCTTGAACGAGCTTCATTCATTCCCTGTTTTCGAATAGATTCTCATTTAGCATAGTAATAATCATTTTGAGCGCTAAAGGGTATGTCTCGATCGCTACAGACTGAAAAACAATCTTTAAAGTTTGAAGCCTTGCGGCCGAATTTTACGGAAACTTTTCAGCAAAGTGAAACTGCACACGCAAATATATCTAAGCTCCTTGGGGTGCATTAAGAATTAGATAGGAATTACTTTCACGCCGCGTTACAACAAGGTATATACTTTGTTAGCGTAGTCTAACGTGCAAAACTAAGATAAATGGGAACTACCTGATTTCTAAAACTTTAATTTTAAGTAAAATTTGAAAGAAGTTTCAAGTTTTGTGACATAAAAGTAATCGTTCGATTCCTTTTTGTTAGATTTGAGACTGTTTATAGCCTAAGCAATTTGTTGGTTAGTAATCCATTGAATCGAACAAAGACGCACTAATGGATGTTATAAACAAATTTCATTTCTCCTTTCAATCAAAATACCACTTGGATAAGGCACCATTTAATTAGTCAGTGCTTTGCTAAAGTCAAGGTCAGCACACGGACACAAATGATTACATAATCAGATGATTTTGTTTTTCATAAACTGAGTTGAAAACGTGACTTGGCTGACGACGGACCGACGCCCAAAATGTCTTCTTTAGAATGGTTCTTGGGTGAAAATTCACATCATCAGCTCATTTGATAAAAGCAAATATTAAATAGCTTAATTAAAGAAAGAGCTCTGATGAAGCAAGAGGTCCAATAAAGGCAACTGATATTACTGCTACGTCCACGAAATTAGCTGCTCTTCAGCAGTGGAAGCGATTTACGCAACTCTGGTGCTTGAGGCACTGAAAGTGAAAACAATTGTCTAACAGGGTAAAAAAGCGTGTGCAAAGTATATGCCACGTTGTAATGCAGTGGGCGCGTAATTCCTATCTAATTCCTAATGAGCCACCAAAGTGCTTAGATATATTGACACGTGCAGTTTCACTTTGCCGAAAATTTTCCGTAGAATTTGGCCGCGAGGCTTCAAAACTTTAGATAAGAGTAAAATGTACTCAAAAAAGGATAAATTATGTCTAACTTAAAACCAGTAACTTTTTCGAGAACCATAATTTTGCGAAAACCCCGTACTTTTAAGAAGAACAAAGCATTCAAAGGAAAAAATTACACCTTTACCAAGATGTATTGTTTCCAAAGTGCATATGGAACCATTTACCGCAGAACAAAATAAAAGAATATGCAAGTTCTCTTGAAAATTAAGTGAAAAATCTTGAAATGTCACAATATAAATACACTCAAGATGCACTTTTAACACACAAGGGCATTTACCCATATGAATGGTTTACGGTCAAGTCGCCCGAAAGTTATCTCGCCCGAAATCATGTCGCCCGAAACCAGAGTCATGTTGCCCGAACTTCATAGTCATGTCGCCCGAAATTTTATCGAGTCTTTAAACTTGAAGAAAAGTAACATCTTAAGTAAATCGCAAGGAATAAACTCGTAAAATGTTGACTCGGTTGTTCGTTTCGCTGTCGTTTGATGTCACGGAGATAGTAATCCTAAAACATAACACGGAAATAAAAAAAAATATAGTAATATCAGCTACAGTATGGTTCTAACTGTTGTTGTTTTATCTGTGGAAGCATTCTATTTCGAACGAAGGTTCACATCACTACGATTGGAACATTGGAAAACGCCTCCATCTTGAATACAGCACGTGGTCAAGAATCATCACGTGGTTGCCAAGCAAGAATGTGACGTTGCGGTAAATTCAGACACGCATTAATACAAATATATTTATTGCTAGCAACTAAACCTAATTACACGCGAGGACGTGTGGGTTGTCCAAGTGACACCCACCCCTTGAAAAGGGATGGGTGAGTTGTCAAATGCCAAATTAAGGTAATTTCGTTATAAAAAAAAAAAACTTATTACATATCTGATTTTTTTTATCATTTTCAAACTAAAATAATAATAATAATGATGACAATGATAATAATAATAATAATAATAATAATAATAATAATAATAATAGTGAAAATAATAATAATATCATTGCTTTCCTAAACGCGAGCAAAGACTAAAGAAAACTAATTTGTACGAACTGGTCCGTGTGATAAGAGAGCATGCCGGCTTTAAGGAGTCGCCTACTTGAAATTTTACTCGCAGTGTAGTCCTTCCAGTAGCCAAAGATTCTTGCTTGAAGTGCGCGATATTTTTTACGCTGGATCCTTTGCAGTTTGTAATAAAATGTAATTAACCTTTAAAACACATGAGGAGTGTTTCTGCAATCTGCAGTCACAGTCCTTCACGTGGCAAAACTGGTTATGCTAAATGTATCACGTTGTAACTAGTCTCTACCATTAGCTTTACAGACAATTGTTTGCATTTTAGTGCCTCAAGCGCCAGAGTTACGTAAATCGTTACCGCTGCTAAAGAGCAACTAATTTCGTGGACGTAGCAGCAATATTCGTTGCCGTTAGTAAACCTCTTGCTTCATCAGAGCTCTTTTGTGTCCTTGTGCTGCCCTCGAGGCTCCCTGTTTCTGTTTTTGTTTTTGACCTTGACTTTAGCATAACATTGGATAATTAAATGGTGCCTTATCCAAGTGGTATTTTGATTAAAATAAGAGATAACA